TAGATAATGATGACGAACCCAACCGACCAAATGCACAGACATATCAGGAAATAATACAAAAACCAGCGATCGATCAAAAGGATGATTGGCTCAACACAGGCCTAAGTGCCAGAAAAAATAGATCAACGACTGAGTCGTCAAAATCAGCGACAGATCCCATCGAAAGAAATGATGACAACTCGTGGACGACAATCAGAAAAAGAGCCGAAGAATCAAAACTTAAAATTCAAGACCAAAAAGAGGATAAAACACAACAAAATGATAATAAAATAGCTGTGAATACAGTGGCACCGAAAGTAGAGCCAGACTTGACACCAACTGCATCAAGCGATAAAATGCAGAATTTGGCAAATATTGAGGCATTGGATGAGACGTTGGATACAAGTATTAGTTATGTGAACACGTCCTCAGTTATGCTCCTTAAGACTCAAGTGAGTGTCAAAATAGTTTACACACTCTTAACATAAGTCAATACATATAATCTGCGAAGAATTCAATTTCTTTCGTCAAAATAAGACAACCGAAAGAATGATTAAAAACAAAGTTGCCTTTTATTTAATTATCACATTGTGTTTAGTATTTACAAATAAATTAATTCCCATAATTAGACTATATTTTCAGACATTTATGACATATTAAATAAAAGATTCATTTTGTCAGTTCCCCTTCTCTTACAATATTTGCGTCCAATTTAACGTTAACTTCTTTTTGTGGATTTCATAATACATGAAATTTCTTTTTTATTTTCATTGATTTTTCTATTAAATAGATTATTGAATGGAATTAGTTGTGCTCCCATTCCTTCCTATTCTTACATTCATTTTACATTTGTTTAGTGTTTTTGATATACTCTACAAAATATGATAGAATAACTCACAATTTAATATACTATAAATTTCACATGTAAACCAAAATTATGCATTTGATTATTAATCAATAAATAATTTACAAAAATAGAGTTAAATAGTGTACAAAATTGATAAATACATTTTGGTTGTAATTATGATTCAAAATTAGGTTCTCTTCATGGCGTAAATACTATAAAACAGACCTAATAATAGAAATATTTATATTAATTTTAAATATAATTTCCTTTGAGTAGGGAATCTAATTTTAATTGAGATTTTATTTACTAAAAAATATATTTTCAAAACAGTATTCGACTCCCGTTTTTACATACAATTCACTTGAAATGAAATCAATTTCTTGCTAATATCTAATTTATATCTTATTTGTACTCTTTTTCACATGAATTCAATACGAAATTTCTAAAGAAATATAAATCATTTTCTGATTCATTTGTAATTAAATTAAGTTGCAAATAATAATTTAATATTTTTTCTTTGCAAAATACAGATAAAAATGCTTGAATTGGAAAAAACATATTTACAGCAAACGTTAGAACAAATCAAATCAAATCATAGCCAAGAAATGAGAATTATGACTGAATTGCATGAGTGAGTG